AACACCCTTGCTGATGAACAATGCCATGAAGGGAATAGAATGTCATCAGTGATATTTAAGATCAAGTGGATTGCTACCAAAAGTATGCTTTAATACCCACTGTCCTCAGTTTACAGCTAGGGACTTCCATATCTGACCCATTCCCAACCTGTTTGTCGTCGCTTCTTAGGTTTTCTATATTCCAGGAGACCACTGCAGAATAAATTACTTGGGTTCAAAAAGGCCCTAGGGCACTTTTACCCACCATAGAGAACAATGGAGGAGATGGGGCAACCTGTTTGGGGGCCCGTAGAATTGAACCCCCTGGTTCAATGTTCTTGAAACTTGGTGGGTATCTTGGGGCGAGGCTCCAGCAGCTACCCTGCGAGTTTGGAGCCTCTCCCCCGAACCCCCTCCCCTCCAGCCCCCAGAATATACCCTATGTTTTTGCCATTGATTTCAATGGCCCATAGGATATAATGGGGCCAAATTTGGTGGCAATTTGGCGGCATACCAATTCAGATCAGAGAATCTGAATCAGCCCGCAGCAACCTGAAAGGGGCCCGAATGGGCCATGTTCAGGGGTGCATTCGGTTCAGACGAACTGAATGCACATCCCTATGGTCTATCATGCTCCTCTTGCAGCCATTCCCCATGTGTCTAAAATAAAGTTGTATGAGTTTCACTGAACCATTTAAATTCATATGTCAGGTCTGAATTCATCCCCTTTTGTGGGAAAGCTGAGGGAATGATGCCAGGGTGAAGTTTATACCTATGCTTGATGGGGACAAACCAGAAATCACCCTTCCCCCTGTGGATGTATTTATTCATATTCCTTTTTTTCCCCTGATGGGGACCCATAGCACCTTACAATACAAAGAATTCAATACAAAAACTATTACAAGAGACAGAGACAAACAGTAAGGGGGCTTCAAAAAACAAAGCAAGTCTTCCTCTCAGTTTCTGTCTTTCTGCTGGTAGATCATCCTCCTCCCTCTAGGCTAAGAGCTTAAGGAGAGAAGCCTTAAATACGAGAAAAAGAAATGCAACAAACTCATTGAGATATTATTCAGCTGCAATACAATAGAACCATAAGCCTCATCATTAGAACAGTTAAAATCTTGACATTCTTCTGGTACCTAGAAAATGTTTAAAAAAGAAAATGTCTGGTAAACCCAGAACAGCTGCAAACCAAAGGATTAACGGAAGGCCAAACAATTCTGTCTTGCATGCCCTGCAGAACTTTAGCAGGTCCCACTGGGCACATGTCTCCTCTGATAAAGCATTCCACCAGGATGGGCTGTGTGGAAAAAGCCCTTGCCCTGATAGAAGCAAGACAGACTTGCCGAGGACCAGGCACTGTCAAAAAATTGTGCGATGATGAGCACAAACTGTGGGGGTTATATCAGGAGAGGTGTCCTTCAGGTATGCTAGTCCCAGACCGTTTAGGGCTTTAAAGGTTATAACCAGCATTTTAAACCTAATCCAGAAGTAAATTCACGACCAGTGCAGCTGCCTCATGATTGGCTGTAAATTAGTAGACCAAGATGAGCCAGTCAACAGCCTGGCAGCTGCATTTTGGATCACCTGAAGTTTCCAAAGTATCCCCAAGGGCAGCTTTATGTAGAGCACTTTGCAGTAGTCTAGTCAGTATAAATTCAAATAGTATGATAGCCAGATTGATGTGATTTTGTAAGCAGAATTTTTTAATTATATATTTATTTGATTCATTAGTGCCCAGCTTTTCTCCCCAGTTTGAACCCAAAGTAGCTTTATACTGTTCCCCTTTCCTCCATTTTATCCTCACAATAACCCTGTGAGGTAGCCTAGGCTGAGTGTGATTGGCTCAAGGTCACCCAGCAAGCTTCCATGGCACAAGTGGGAATTCGAACCTGCGTCTCCTAGTAGGACACTGTTAACCACCATGCCACACTGGCTCTCTATCTTTCTTCTGGAAGATAAGAAAGATTTCTTCTGAAACTCATTCATTTTCACAGATCTCTAATCTGGGCTTCATTCTTCCCCCCCTAATTCCATTGTGTGTGACTCCTCTTAGGAAGATGCCCACATTTCTTTCCCACTTCTGAATTTGCAGCCCAAAATGAATCACAATCCTCCTGCATTTGTTTCCATTACAAATATGCAAGCATGTGCAGGGTTTGCCTCTTTTTTAGATGTCTGCAGATTGTAGCAGCTGCGCTAGCGGACTTTAGTAGCAGGAGCAATATATCCAGTAAACCTTTTTCCTCAGTCAACACAACTGAAGAGCTACATGACTTAAAGTGTGCTACTCCCACATCTCAAGAAATGTTCGGTGTAAACACACACACAAATCTCTGGAGTTTCTTTTCTCTGTCCAGGAATTTCTGAAATGTGACAACTTGGGGCCTTTGGAGGGGAAAACCGAAACAGTGGCAACAGCACTTTCCCAACCACCTGTAGGTTAAACCATGGGTAGCAGTAGACCACAACCCACTGGTAAAAACTACTGCCCTAACTTGCATTTAACATTTCAATATGTCTGCCGCTGTAGACATATTTTAATGATGGCACACTTGTTTTCTATATTAAAGTATCTTTTCCCCCTCAAAATGCCTTTTGCATATCACATGGACAGAATGTGTTACACATACATAAGAGAACATAAGAGACACCAATGTTGAATCAGGCCAAAGGCCCATCCAGTCCAACACTCTGTGTCACACAGTGGCCTGAAATACCAGGTGCCATCAGGAGGTCCACCAGTGGGGCCAGGACATTAGAAGCCCTCCCACTGTTGACCCCCCCCCAAGCACCAAGAAGACAGAGCATCACTTGCCCCAGAGTCCCTAATAACGTGAGTAGTATTTCCAGAAAGCTCTTGACTGCCAGTGGTGAATCCCATATTGACATATATATTATTGAAGGTATTTAGTGTTGATTTCATTGCTATTTGGCCATGGTAATGATTCCATGAGCTGCCCTCTCGCACCATTTTAGGAGACACAGTGTTAAGGGAGGCTTGGGCAGGTTTGTGTGTTAAGTGCTATCAAGTCACTTTGGACTTATGGCAACCCTCTGAATTAATGACCCTACAAAACAGCCTATTGCTAACAGCCTTGCTCAGATCTTGCAGACTGAGGGCCATGGCTTCCTTAATTGAGTCAATCCGTCTTCCTCTTCCTCCTGCCTTCAACTTTTCCTAGCCTTATTGTCTTTTCCAGTGATTCTTGTCTTCTCATAATATGACCAAAGTATGATGGCTTCATTTTGGTCATTTTAACTTCTAGGAAGAGTTCAGGCTTGATTTGATCAAGAACTAACTGATTTATCAATTTTCTTCCCATCAGCTTTCTTCACTGTCCAACTTTCACACCTATACATAGTAAGGGGGAACATTATAGTATACATTATCATGATCTTGGTTGCCAGCTACACATCCTTACATTTAACAATCTTTTCTAGCTCGTAACGGCTGCCCTTCCCAGTCTCATTCCTTGTGGTTGATGATTGAGCCCAAGGAATAGAAAACCCTTAACAAGTAGTTTTATCTAATGTTGTGCATCAAAGAGCAAACAATAGTTCAAAGACTCTTATCTGTTCTTATAATCATAACATAAACTGTACAGCAGGATTGTGGCTAATCTGCCTAACTATTGAAATCAGACACCTCTTCAAACAATGTAGCTACTTTAATTATGTGTTGTAAAATTTTCAAGAAGAGGCTAGGTATGAGGTTTGTGTAAAGTTCTCAGCAACATCTAACTTTTCTTCCTATTGTTGGGATAATCCTTTCTTTCAAAGCCTGTGGTATAGAGAAAATTTAAGAGTATGCATTCATAAAAGTTCAGATGGTTGTATGTGCCTCTTTTAACAGTTGTTCACAAATAATTGTCTTTGAATCACGGCTTAATAAAGTGCAGCTATGTTTAGAATTTATGCCTGAATGTGCTTCCTAATTTGATAACCACCAACCAGGAATTCCAGTGACCCAGGTAGCAGCTTTAGTGTCAACTGGGTTTGCTCTACCAACTTGACAACAGTTGCTTTATTGTCTGTGCCAAACTGTAGCATTTGAAATTCAGATTAAACAGTGATTGTTTACATAGAAGTTTTTATAAGCAGAGCAACTGTACTGAAATTCACATTTTCTCAGGTTTTAGATTCAAGGGTATAAATATATGAAGTATAATAAGCAACATACTTCTTGAACATACTGAATAAACTTCTGAGATCTCAGATACTGAACAATCATTTATATGAACATGATTGTGTTGTATTAATTTCATACAATGAATATGGCAGCTCTAGAAAAAGTTAACCAGACCATGAAGTTTGTTCTTCCTAATAAGTAGATGATCTTGTTTCCTGCCTTTCTGATTTAAAATAATTTCTTGAAAATGTGAGCCAACAATGATGGCAGATAAACTTAAGTATTCTATTATTTCATTTACTTCCTTACTAACCTATGCAAATGACCCTTTGTGCCAATTATCCAAATTCAACTTACTGGATCTATGGTGTAATTCTGTCCTCGAAGGGGTTTTCTCATGATGATGTAGGGCATGTTAGAGTTAGAGTTATGTTTTGACTCCTGAACTTCATATGTTGTTCACTTCCTCATTCTAGTGCTTTAAATCAAACTCTAAAGCCACACTTGACTTGAGATACACAACCCATTTTATTAATCATAGTATGGTGAAGTCAGGAATTAGAAACACAAAAATTATAGCAACAAAGCTGTGTATAAATTCAAATTGGTGAACACCTGGTTCCAGGTAGTCTACTTGCTTGTTCATAAAGGAGGACTCATGCCAGCTCTGTTGGAATGAAGACGTTTTACACAATGTAAAGCTAATTTATTATTCTAGCCTCACAAATACTGTTTTTATGTAAAATTCTCTTTCTTTGGTTTAACCTTGTTGACCTTTAATGCTGATAGTAACCTACGCTGTGTACAAAAAGCTACATAATACTGTAAAGATGGTACAATAGGAATCCCCAACATGGCACCTGTGGGCACCATAATGCCTTTTATAGGGCCTACCAAGAATTTTTAGAAAGTGGGTGGGACCAAGTGGGTCTGCTGCCCAGCAGGCTTCTGAGAGTCCCTACTCATAGGTTCTGAATACTTTGCACACAGTTTATACAGTGGTATGAGAAGAATTAGAAACTAGGGGGGTGTAGAACACTTCAAAAGTCTTAACAGATACTGCCCCTTGATTGCAGAGTAAAAGGAAGTTGGAATTTTCAGGAAATTGCTAAGTTTTCAGAATGGTGTGAGCTTTGTGCTTTGAGAACACACACGTCAGAAGTTGGAATGGTTCTGATCTTATGTGTACACTTGATTTTTATCTTAAGTGACAAGTGTATGTGGCATTGTAATTAACTTCATGCTTTCTTTTAGACATGTCTGCAGGAATATCTTGGGTGAACAAGGGGCCAGTTTTCAGTTCTACTCAAGTAGATTTATCTTTTGATATAGCTGGTGATGCTGCTGTTTCTAAGTCAAGGTAAATATATGCTGATTTGCTGTTATGTGGTTTGAAATAGCTCTGTATATAAAAGCCTCCCCAGAGCATTTGTTTCCCACTAAATACTAACAAATCCATATTAAGTTGATTCTTTGTAAGGCTTTTTTTGGCTACATCTGTGTTGGTTGCTGTAACGATTCCATGTTTTACTGGGTGTGTGTGTGTTTAAAAGTTTGGTTTATATGGCTGTGTGGGACAATCTAGAATGCTGAAACGGGCAAGTGGTGTGATTGGTGAGTGACAGAGAGGGGGAGAGGGTTTGGAATGGATGCTGTGTGGATGATTTGAATGTCTATCAGGAGTGACTGTTAGAGTTTAGACAGTTTATGATGACAGTTGAGAAAGACAGTTAGTGAGATGACTGTGGAGTTAAACAGTTAGTCAGAGCAGTGTGTGCTGTGTAAAAAGAGTTAATATGAGTTTTATCCTGAGTTCTCTGTGTGAGAGGTTCCTGTGTGGAATATAAAAGTAAAAGTCTCTGTGTTAAGCAGTTAGTCAGTTCTGTCTCTGAGTTGAAGGAGACTCAGTCTTGTGTGTGTTATGAAAAGTTAAAGCATAAAGAAACAGTAACCATATATGGCCTAAGTAAAATATTGTGACAAAGTGACATGCCCTGATCCCTGTCAATAAGAGGGAAGAGTGTGTGAACATCAAATAAATCTACTTTTATTTAAGATACAAGTTCTGAACGAAATTCTTCCCAGGAAACACATAGTTCCTCGAAAGGCCTAGACCCCGTGCCACAATACCAAACCAGAAGAAGAAATATATTAGTATAAAGGTGTGGAAAGCCTTAAATTTTCCTGGTGGCGGCGAGATTACCCTGAGAGCAAAAACATAAGAACATTTTAAAGTAAAACCAGACCTCCCCAAATAAGAGGTCATCACAGTTGCCTTTCCCTTATACATGCTTCCGAGATTTATCTTTGGATTGTGAATGAGGAAATGTGCATTTAGGTTTAAGAATAATTAGGCATGTTTTGCATTGTGACCTTAAACAAGGAACTACACAACTACTTGTTTAAACTGCTAAGAGCACAGATGCATGAGCTTCAGCCTTTTATCAGTCAACTACTCAGCACTTGATACCTCATGGCAGAATGTGGGACCCAAGCAGAGCAAAAAAAAGTGATGTGTCGAAAAATGTTCCATAAAATTTTGAATACAGTTTCCTCTTTGTTTTGAAAACTTCAGGGGAATTGTGGGAACATACATATGTGAATATGGATAAGAAAAGCTGAATTAATTTCTTTGCATGGATTTTCTTCAACTTCTCTGTTTCATAAGTAACATTTACATGTGTATAGTCTCATAATTTCCCTAATAGGATTTTGAAATATATCTGCAACTGCATTCAGTTTTTTATTAAAATGTTTCCTTTGCACCTTTTCCTGGATCTGTCTGCATCTTGTTCTTTTGTTCACCTCCCCTTTTCCCCTGTTGACTTTTCAGCAGAATGTGCAAACTGTTTCTCTTCTCTTCTGAAGAATGTTATGTATGACCTGATATTAGGTTATTGTAATGTTCTGTATATGGAAGTTAGTCTGGAATAGGTTAGTCACACTTCTTTTGGTTTCTTTTCCCTGCTCGTCTTCTAAGGGGCTTTGGGGTGGCATATGTTCTCACCTGTTTCCAGTCTGGGCTGGAAGATAGTGGCTGACCCAAGGTCACCCTGTGAATATCATGTCAGAGAGGGGAAGCAAACACTCCTAATCCTGTACTGTACACCACATTAGCTTTCATCATTTTCATGACCAAGTAGAAGTAATTACTTCCGTTAAAAATTGACAAGTGGCAAATATGGATCTGTGAATCAAGCCCAAGCTTCTGTCTTCATATATGCTATAATCTACCAGGTGTTGTGTTGGACAATCATATAAACAAAATAAATGGAAATTTTATAGCCGCAGAGTTTAATGGATTTCACCTTTTAAAACACATCTAAAAAGCTGTTAAATAGGAGATAGGCTTTTCTGATAACTAATTTTCTGCTTTTCTGATAGTGGAAATCCAGGGCTATATCTAGATGCTGAAGTGGCCTTAGCAACAGGGCACCTTGTCGCTCCCAGCAGCCAGCAGTCCAGCGGTGCAACATCACACTATTCAGAATCACGTGGTGAAACCCCATGTTCATTTGAGGATGAGGACGAGGATGAAGATGATCCCTCTTCACCAGAATAAAGGCAGAAACCAGCCCTACAAAACGGTGTTCCTGTGCACTTAGTGTGAGCTCATGTTCTTTATGCAGTTTTCTTCCCCTTTTGCTGTATGTCTTTGAGATTTAGGAAAGATTCATCCCGTATGAGAAACACTAAGCACAGGGCATGATCCAGTCCTTGAATTCATGTCTGTAGGACAGAGTGGAGAAGCCTCCACACAGGCAGGTGGACACTCTAGGGTGAAAATATACTGTGTCATTTGTACCTGTATCCAGATCTCATTTGTTGGTCTTCCTTAGATTGGATAGGAGAGTCTGACAGCTGCCGTGTGTGTATTGTAGTCCTGGACAGCAGGCTGTCAGTTTGCAATGTAGCTGTGCAATAACTTGCTTGGTGCATTGGGGCCTACTGGGCCATAAAAATGCATGTTGCCTGCTGGATCCTGGTAGTTACTTGAGTCAGCCTCAATGTTGTTGCCTGGCAAACTGGGAGTTCCCATAAGGCCTTGGGCAAGCCAACAGTATATAATGCCCCAGCACAACTGTGTCACGTGGCCAGCATAGCAGCTGCACACTCACCCTTTCTGGGCCCACAGGCAGAATGGTTGGATCTGCCTTGTTATGTACAACCAAGAAAAAGAACATTTTCTGGAAAGATAGGAGAGTGTAAGTAAAGTGCATAATTTGGGTTTCTGTAACGTGGTGTATTGCTTCCATAGCTGCTGTCCTTGATTTTCTAAGATGCTTCTTATCTCATGGGCTCTTGACAATACTAGTTTTTTGCAAAAGATCATCCTCCAAGCTTAATAACATTAGGAGGCTATTGAGATGCATGTTTTGGTCATATCAGCTTGCTGTTTACCAAAATAGTTACACAGATTTATTCATGAAAATGTATCTGAGCTTGGAGGCTCTTCCATTTTAAGAACTTGAAATTTAGCATTTCAACAGATCCTTTCTACTATTGATTATTAAGTAGCAGGACAATTAGGGATGGGCACAAAGCCAAAAAAAGCAGTTCGGTTTGGGGCAGCCCCAGAACTGACCCTAAAGGACCCCAACCGAGCCAGTCTGGTGAGTTTGGTTCCCCCTTTTTTTGCAAACTCTGAACCAGCCCAAGTTCAGCCCAAATTTCAGTTTGTGAGCCAGTTCATGCCCATCCCTAAGGATGATACTGAGCATAAATACATTAAAAGATAACCAGTACTAAATATTAGGGTTTTAATTGGGCTGTGGTGTTACCTGGTTTTTATAAATGAAAATGATTACAGGGATTTAAAATTGTAGGCTGTAGTGTTTTATATAATTGTAGGTTAAGAATATGCTACTACTACCAAGATAATATAGTTACCATGAAATAAAATTATACTCTGAAATAGTGCTAAGACATTTCCAAAAAATCTACACAAGACCAACAATAATTTATATAAGATTACAACCATAATTTATATAAGATTAAAACTATTTTTAAAGAATTGAAAGGAAATTTTGTCACTGAACTTCTGGTCTCAGGTTTTTAAAAAATTATGGCTATGTAACTCCATCTATGCTTAACGCACTGCTAATAAGAAAAATTGCTCCATGGTTTGTAAGTAACAGCATGAAAAGATGTTATTAATCTCCAGATGCTTAATACCATAATTTAAGGAGTGTTTTTACTTGTAATCTCAGAGACATTTTTTTAACTTTTTTTTTAAAAAAAATAAAGCCATTTGATCAGAAAGTATTGTGATCTAGTTTTGGGAGAATGAAAGGACTATATTTTAGCTTCATATTCTTCTCTGTGCTAGTTACATTTTACAGTGAATTTTTCCAGATAAGTGTTAACTATCAGAAGATCAACTCTATGAAACCATTTTTAGTCTTCCAGTACCTTGCAACCTGGGAGCTAAAAATACCTGTTTAATTTTTTTAATGGTTGTTATGTGAGATTTGGCAAGTTATCAAGTGGCCTTTCTCATACCTCTGTTTCTACAACACTGAAAGCAGGACTGAGCAAGCTCCAGACACTATGTCTGAACAGAGCTTTAATTTAACTTGGCCTTATTGTGCCAGAAAACTGGGGAAGTGGAAAGGCTCAGCCTTTATCTTCATTCAAACTCTCATCTGCTCTTTAGCCTCTGTTTGAAATCTGAAGGCCAAGCTGTCCTTGACAACAGCAAACCTACACCTTTAAAGCTTTTAAATGAGTCTGCCTACTTCATGTGTAAAGTAGGTTGGGTTGGTGTGTGCATTTTCCTCTGGTTACATGTCAGAGGAGCATTGTGAGCATCTCCTTCCCATCCACCCTGCTGCTTGTATTCTTTCTGGATTATGTTCCCCTTGCTGCCCCCTCTCCCCCATTACTGGAAGTAAGCATGGCTAATAGAAAAGAGCTTATGTGGGGTTTTTTGTTTTGTTAGGAAATAGTATAACAGTCCCATCTGTACACCCTTTAACTCTTTACATTGCAACCTCCGTACATACACTTCATAACATAAATGGGATACACCTGTATCTGAAGAAACCAGATTTGCGTCTGTTGTTTGCCATTTGGACTTTATAGAAAGTGGGAAGATGGGGGGAGGGGAGATATAAGAAAAGTAGTATTCAGCAGCCCTTTCCCATACACAGCTGTCCTACATCTGCACTGCCATAACTGATCCCATTGCACGCAACAAACAAGAGTAGATGCATAGTTCTGTCCCTGTGTCATCAGGCTACATGCAAATAATTTTTTAAAATGCAGTATCAGTCTGTATTTCTGCAGATGCATTCTGTATTAGCCCTCTAGGGCAGCCACTTGGCTGCTGTGTGAAACATGTTGCTGGACTAGGTCGACCACTAGTCTGATTTGGGAGGGATCTTATGGTCTGTCCTTCCCAGACCAATTCTGCACGTGGGATAATGCATCACAGTATTCCTGTACTCTAGTCATACATTGTGCCCATAGGTAAGGATGCCTTTTGGAAAGGCTGGAGTGGCAGTTGACTCTTCCCCTCCATGTTTCAAGCCACAATACCTCTGATTGGTACAGGCTATAAAAGTAGCCACAAGATTATCTGAAAATATGGTGGCTTGTTGCCAATTAATCCTGAATATATCCAAGAGCAAGACTTTGAATCTTGCTGTGAATTTTCTTTTTAGTGTATGTCACTTTGAGTGTGCTCTCAAGTTGGAAATAATACTCAAGTTTTATAACTGAATTTCCTCTCACATACTTACCCAATACACACACCTGAAGTCATGCTACATTTGTGTTTATAGATCTAGCCCAAAGTGTATTCTGGATTCATGAACTTTTACTAGGTCTTCTTAGGGAGTATTTATGAACTGTTCCAAACATAGTTGCCCATACTTGGCATCAGATCTTTGATAAGCAATATTTGATGTATTCTGGGACAAGGCCTTTGAAACCAAAGAAAACTGACAGAAAGTACTGGTTTTGATTCAGATTCTATGTTTCAAGAGGAAGGTTGGAGAATGTTCTATTCCAGTCTCTGATGAAGCTAAATTTAAAGAAATAGTATTATTTCTGGAAATCTGATCCCACAAACAGTGACAGCTCTCTCTAGGGTGCATTACCAAGTTTCTTGCCAAGTTTCCATTCATTTCAGTTTTATTCTTCTCATGAAACAAATCTGCTTGCTTCCTGTATATACACACCCATGGACTCACAAATTCTGCACCATTAAAAAAGTCAAATTCTGTGATACAAACAAGAGAAGTTGTTTTGCAGTGATTTAGTATTCTGCATAGCTTCTTTTGGAAAGGCATGAAATTATGCTGGACAGCAAAGCCACTGCATCTGAACAACCTTCTGCTTCTGAGGTATTCAGCAGGCAATGCCCATGCATTTCCAAGCATGTTTATGAAGCTCTTAAGTGCTGGAAACTTAAGATTCTCTTGGTGCCAAATTCTGAGCCACTTACTACGCTCTGTGCTTTTCTTTCACTTTGTGAAATTGCAGAGTACTGTACAACTTGATTTATGAAAGATATCTAATAATTCTTGGAGGGAAACTAATGTAACAGTTGCAAAATGATCCAGTTTTAAGGCATAACACTCCCTTGGTGCGCTTGCAAATGCAGGCATCATTCTAGCTTGGTATGGGGAATGGAAGGACTGTATTCCTTCCCCAGATGGAGGGGGATAGCTGACCCACAGGTGTTAAAATCTGTAACCTCTTGGTGAACTGATTATCCATGTACACATGGCAAGCATTTGTTATCCCATATTGGGATCCGTCCACATATGAGGGCTACACCAATAGTCAACCAGTCAACCTACCTCTATTTGCCTCCCCCTACCGTCTTCATCTTTCCTTTCCTCTACCTGGGAAGACTATGGCCTAATGGTACAGTGCTGGCTGCTTGACCAGGCCCATTTGCACAGTGGGGAACCTACAAGGACTTCAGAGGGGCAGTTCATTTTCTACTGTATCCCCTTCCCATACGATTTCCTCTTTCCTTCCTCCTGGCAATCCCCATATCCTCACCTTTTCTTGCTTCCTTCTCTCCTTCCCGTCCGTCAACCAATCTACCTTTTATCTGCCCCCATCTTCATCTTTATTATTTACTTCATTTGTACTCCACCATTTTTCACAGTGGGGAACCAAAGCCGCTTACATCATTCTCCTCTCCTCCATTTTATGCTCACAACAACCCTGTGAGGTAAGTTAGGTTGAGTGTATGTGTGATTGGCCCAAAGTCACCCAGTGAACTTCCATGGCAAAATGGGGATGCAACACTGCATCACACTGGCTTTCATGGGGTGGTCATTGTTGAACAGTAGCAAGCAGCTGGGTGAGTCATGCAAGTTGCCCAGTGGTAGCTGCCAGCCCAGCTATAATGAGTCCTCCACCAAAGGCCAGAATGGCTCTAGAATGGAATCTGCCCCCTCCCCCTGCACTTTACTGACAGAAACCAAGTATTGCCAAGAAGACAGTACAGTTGTGGTTACCTGACAATGGCTACTGTGGCTATTTGTTTCTCAAAACTATATGTGATCCTTTTATCACTTGGGAGGGTTAACTCCCCCAGTTGTTTTTTTAAGATGTCAGGTTTTTCTACAAACCTGGGGCCTCCCTCAGGTTTGTAGAAAGAGCCCCAGTCTTTGGATTTAAGTATCCACAGGTGGGGGTCACACTGAGTATTTAGATATATTAAATATATTGTTGAAAGCACTGTAATTGGTAGAGAGAACTCACCGTGCTGTAAGAGTTATACAAAATGGTAACAGGTGAAAGTGTGCATTTAAACATCACTTGAGGAT